TGTACTCTACCAGAAGCTTCTAAATGAAATATTGGTTTCAACTTTAGATGATTTCATGACTGTTACTGCTTCCTTGAAATTGCATATTTGTTATTCATGACTTGATTCAAAAAGCTCTTGTTATGTTTATGGATCAGAAAATGATAAATTGTTTATTCATTTAAATGATGGTGATGACTTTCTCATGCCATCTCAAATTTCACACACACACATAGATCACCTTCCTCCGGTTGAATGAGAATCACTCTTACACGTTTTTAAGTTTCATCAAACACTGTGATTTTAGAACTCTGGTTTTTGGAGTTGGAAGACCCCTGATAATTATCAAGATATATTACCCTATTGCAGCTTAACCTTAATATATGAAGCCCTTATAGTTTTTTTACATGGGCTACTTTGTTGTACGTTTTTAGTCTTTCTTTCTTTTTAAATACATCTGCAAATTAGATATCTCTAGAAACATATATATTTCAGGGTGCTTTCATCATGTTTTCATTTGTTATTGCTTTATATGTTCTCCGTTTCCTTTTGAAGGTGGTTATGGTCTATTTATGGCTTTTTTCTTACCACCATAAAAGGTAGTGAATGCTGACACTCTTCTTTAATGCTGTTGAATTCCAGTGTGGTTGGCCGAGGGCTGGCAATCGCTGGGAGGTGCGACCTCAGGAGAACCGCAGCAGCTGCGACGATTAAAGAATGGCCTAGAAAGGGGGATAACGTAACTACGGCTGGAACAAATTCTGCAACCTGGCAACATATTTTTGCGGTATTTTTCTGGCCTCCAATGTCATCTCAGTAATGGCCGCTTCCATCTATTTTGTTAAGGTTGTGCTTTCCACCGTCATCATTCACAGGAGATATTAGTATTGGAATTTGATCTGAATTTGTTGTTTGCTGTATGTCTTTTATTTAAGATCCGTTTGGGACGGCTTTCGTACTACTTTTTAAAGCAATTTTTTAATACAACAAATAAAATGTTTATACTAAAAATGTTTCTTTAAAAAACAATTAGAAAGCCGTCCCAAACGAAGACATAGATATTTGTATCCGAATGTATATATGTTTGTGTGCTTTCATTTTGCTACATGTATGGTGTGTAAGAGAAGTACTTTTTTCTCTAGTGTTTTATTTATCATCTAATGATAGAAAGATTATGAGTATTCATGCATGTTTAGTATTCATCTTGTCTGAAGTACTCTTAGGTTTCGTTTGTGATTGTTTTTTTTACTACTTTTTGAAGCAACTTTATAGTACAAAATTTTAAGCAGCTTTATAAGAAAGCCCTCCCAAACGAAACCTTAATAAATAGTTTTGAATTGAGTTGTGTCGAGTTAGAATCATGTTGATTAAGGGAAATTGTGGGTTCTTAACTGCATTTTATTTTTAATCTCAATACTAAGGCTTATGTGAGGGTCATCATAATATCTGAACAGAGAATGGTCTCTTCCCTTCCCTTCCCTTCCTCTCTGAAAGAAGCTAACTATTTCAGTCTCAATGAATTAGCTCTTAACTTCTTATTCTTGCTAACAGAGATAAAAGCTACTTTGGAATGAGAAAAATAAAAAACTTTGTTCTTCTTGAACCCAAAAAAAGGCTATTCTCTTTGAAGATTTTAACCTTCGAAGGATTAAAGTTTTGTCTGAGATGAATTTTCTTTTATTGTTTTGTTTTTCAAATTATAATCGTAGTTTCTTTATGGCCATAATTTTTTTCGTTTTTTTTTTTTTTGTTAAATAGATGTTGTATATAATAGCAGTTTCTTATCATACAAATTTCCTAAAAATATCTGTAAAACAAAGTAGTAAAAAAATTATTCAAAAGAAAGCCTAAATTTGCATGGCATCCACTTATGTCTCGAAATTCTATTCAGATTTGGATGGTATTTATTAATGGCCTTAAAATATTTTTCTCGTTCAATAAAAAAATTTAAATGCATATAATTCATGCAAAATAAAATCATGATTTCTGATTAAAGAGAATATGCAATTCAGATGAATATTTGAGCAAAGGGTTCGTTTTGGATAGCTTTTGACTATTTTTTTTAAAAAAATTATAATAGAAATTGTTAAGAAAATAATAAGAAAGCTGCCCTCAACCATAGCCTAAGATCAAAAGATAAATGTAATCGATTGATTAAATGAGGGCAAAAAAATTTTTTGAGAGGGGGCAAAATACCCAAAATACTCAAAATATTTCAAAATATCTCACTAAATTAAAAAAAAAAATTTTTTTTGAGGGGGGGCCCGCCCATGCTTTTGACTATTTTTTTAAAAAAATTATAATAGAAATTGTTAAGAAAATAATAAGAAAGCTGCCCTACAACCATAGCCTAAGATCAAAAGATAAATGTAATCAGATCTAGACAAAATTTTTTTAAGCCAATAATCATCTCGGGTATATTTATTTAGCTTCATGAAGGTTTTTAGATTATTGTAAGTTATAAATGTAATAATTTCACTACAATGCATGTTGCGATTTAAATGGAACAACCATATTCTTAAAAACATGCCTGATGTTATGTTTAAGATTAATGAATTGTTTGAGACAGTTGCAACATTTTATAAAAGTGATTATCAAATTGATGTAAAGAAATTAACTTTTTTAAAAAGTTCCTACAGTAAACAAATTTCTAGCACACAAATTGAGAGAGAGAAAATTAAAATATCGATCTTTTTTATGTGGAAAATTCGAAGAGAGAAAAACCACGGGGCATCGCCTAAGTGAAAATATTTCACTAAATTGCAGTGAACTACAAAGGTTGACCCATCCTGTGACTTGGAGGTGGTCGAATTACAGTAGTTGAAAAGTTGGACAAATGTTTAACAATGGTAGGGTGGAAGCCTAATGTCGTCCGAGCAAAAGTTCAACTGACTCAGAATGATTTGATGATGTCCGTGCGGAAGTCCGACGACTGTTAGCGACATGGTGGAATTCTAGCAGTGGATGGCAACCCGGCAGTGGTCTGACGAAGGTTAGATAGAAGTCCCATGATGTTTGGCGGACAGATGGAAGTCCACCGGCGGCCGGGTGGAAGTTCGGAGGCGATCGGGGTCCGGGTGTTGGTCCGAAGAAGGTTGGGCTGAAGTCCAATGGGGGTTGGCGGCCCTGTGATGGTTCAATGATGGACGGGCTAAAGTCCGTTGGCGGCCGGGTGAAAGTCCGGTGGTGGTTGTAGGCCGGGTGGA